AAATACTGCAATTAGCAACTACTTAAATGCTTTTTTAGATCACAACAGAGGGTCTTTGTTACTTAGGCACATGTTTATTCATCTGTTATTTGATATCAACTTGATTTAGGTCGTTTAGTAAATGAGTAAAATAGGTTGCATGTGCAATATAGTTTTGAAAATTGGATTCGACACGTTGATGGGACACGAAATCAGCCAACTGATCGGTTCAGTTCGCTGAACAAACTACTTGCTGGGGAATTGATCAATTCGGGAGATCAAACCTGTTTCTTTCTTTCTTTCTTTTGTTTTTTTTCTTATTTTGATTCAATTTCAGAAAAATTTATTTTAAAATATTTATACATACTTTTTTGATATAAATACAGGTGTAAATTTAAGTACATTCAGAATAATGCATTATTCTGTTGGGGTCGTTTTTTTTTCTTTTCTTTTTCATTATACTTTTGGCAGCTTTTAGTGTCGTGGTGTTTTGGTGTTTATAGATTATTACCCTTTTGAGATTGGTTCTAGCTTTTAGTGTCGTGGTGTTTTGGTGTTTATAGATATTTACCCTTTTGAGATTGGCTCTAGGCGACCTTCTGGCTGTCCTCCCAGTTTATTCAGCTGTTTGTTGTTTGTATTCAGCTAGTGACTGTATTTTTGCACATTTGTGCGTTTTATATTATATCTCTATCGTTTCGAAAAAAAAAGTACATTGAATATGTATAAATCGTAATATCAGTTAGTTTAGATATTTAAGTATTTTATGTTATCTAAATATTTAATAATAATGATTATAATTAAAACTGTTGTTTAATGTATTATATATATATTAAAAATATTATTTAATTAATGTACATCCAACCGATTTAACCATTTATATGATGAATGGCTCACTGCACTTATAACTCCACCTGTTTATGACTGGTGGACCATTGAGAACCTTGATATCAAATGATTGAATACACCGCTAAATATTATTTATTTTCTAATAGAACAAGAAAAAAAAATTATTATATCCCCCATTCATGAAATATTTGAATGTGTTCTTCCAACGTTTTATGTATTTATTTATTAAAAGTATTTTGATATAATTATTAAATAGTAGTAAAGATAAATTGATGGCAATTTATCCAAGAATAAGATGATCAAATGTTTGATTGATGCAAAATTTAAGGAAATGCTACGGTCCGGTTACGGAACTATTCTGTCGGTGTTTGTAATCGTTAGATCATGTAATTGTTAGACATAGTTTATCTTTTTTTTTTCTTTTTTGCAAATGGAGACAAATAATTTAACGGTTACAAATCACGACGGAATCGTTCCGTAACGGAATCGTATCATCTCCCCAAAATTTGATGCACTTCTTGGGAAATCGATTAGGTCCAAATTGTACCAAATTATCAAATTTAATGCAACGTCATGCTCCCTTCCCAGCGGCAATACATTTTTGGGTTGAACTTGTTTCTTGTGTGTTGTCATCCATTTTTCGCGAGAACAAAAAACACTCAAAGAAATTTGCATTCAGGAAAACGCATCAACTCTTGCTTCGCGTGTGAAGAAGACGGATGCTCGAGAAATCGAAAGCTTTTACAAGCAATACTACGAGCACTATGTTGTGGCGCTCAACAAGGGGGAGCAAGCTGATAGGTGATGCTCAATTTTACAGTAATTTCTTTCTCTGTTTTTTTTTTCTGAATTTTTACAGTAATTTCACATGAAGCTGACAAATTTTAACGATCAACCTTTTTTCCCCTCTTCTGCAGAGCCCAGCTTGGGAAAGCTTACCAGACAGCTGGTGTTCTGTTTGAAGTGCTTTGTGCTGTTAATAAGACTGAGAAGGTCGAGGAAGTTGCCCCTGAGGTTAGTTTTTTTCCTTTTCTTTTTCCTTTTGTTTTATCTAATCCGATTATTCGAGCGCTTTTTTTATCAATTCTATGACGACTATGTTTATAGATCATGTCTGTTTTTGCTGTTTTTTTTCTGTTTTTTTGTTGTTTTACAGATCATGGCTGCAGCTAATGATGTCCAGGCGAAGAAGGAAATATATGCTCCGTACAATATTCTTCCCCTGGATTCTGCTGGGGCAAAACAGTCAATTATGCAGCTGGAAGAGGTGAGGCATTTGCATCGTCTTCAGCATTGGTGTTTTCATGGTCCCTCTATCCCAAGTTGTTTGTCGTGTTAGCTCTACAAATTTGTGACAACAATGCTGTTTTAGGAATTTAAAATTCGACTTCGATACTTCCTCCCAAGTTTGGCCCTATTTACTCTTACCCAATTAACTGCATTGCTATGAGTGTGAGCAATCAAATAGTTGCATGCTTATTGCTAGAAGTTACCTTTGTCCCACTAGTAATTGGGTTGTTATTGTGTTCAAGTGTGGGTTGAGCAACCTCTCCCTTTGCGCTAGCTTTTGGGGATGAGTTCTACCAGGCCCATTAATCACTTATTAGTTGACTTAAATGTGACATTTTATGATATTTCGTAGTCTCTGTCAGACTATCTAAAACATTGATTGATTTGCGATGGAGGGAATATACCTGTTCATTTTTTGTCGTGTTACTATATACCGAAAAGATGCTAAGGTATTGCACTCTTTTAAATGATGGTAGGTGAAAGCAGCCGTGACTGCTTTACAAAACACCCGTAGCTTGACATGGCCGTCTTCATTCGAGCAACAAAGGCAGAAAGCTGGGGAGCTCGACCTTCTTGATTGGCTGAGAGCCATGTTTGGGTTTCAGGCATGTCTTGTGAATTGTTGAACCAAAGTGATGTAGTCCTTTCATGCGCGTTCTTTTGTTTATTTTTTTTTATTTTTCATTTTATTTATTTATTTATTTTTTTTTTTTATTTTTTTTTGCTTTTTAATGTAATTTAACTTGTTTGCTTTTGATACTGACAGAGGGACAATGTGAGGAACCAAAGGGAGCATTTGATATTGTTGCTCTCAAATATTCATATAAGGCTAATCCCTAAGCCTGAACCACAAAACATTGTATGTTTTTGTCTCATAATCCTCTACACATACAGGAGATGACCATACTTTGATATCTCTTCATAGCAAGTTGTTTAGAGTACCTAACTTATGATTCATTTTTTGCAGCATTAGGTGCATCTAGAAATCATAGCTTGTCTTAATTAGCTTCATGTCGCATGTATGGTTGCAAACCACACATTTAAGTTTCATATCAAATATATGTTTTAATATATGTGAGTCGTGTATGCATATTGTGCATGAGCTTATTTATTATCAGGGAAAATAGTTTAAGAGCTCTTATTTTTGCATAGCTTGATGATCGAGCCGTTGATGCACTCATGAATAAGCTATTCAAGAACTACAAGACATGGTGTAAATATTTAGGAAGAAAGCACAGCTTAAGGTGAAATGATATCTTGGGGTAAACTTCAAATATGTATAATTTAGTTTTCATGTGCAAATAGGATTACCTCATGATTCATCTTTCAATCTTACCGATCTTAGACTACCAAAAGGTCAGCCAGATGTGCAGCAGAGAAAGATACTTTATATGGGTCTATATCTTCTCATCTGGGGTGAGGCTGCTAATGTCCGGTTCATGCCCGAGTGCCTATGCTACATTTTCCACAATGTAAGTTGAAATTACTCTTCCTCAATATAATTGGGATGATTCCAGCCTTTATGTGCGTGATTGAAGTGTGTTAGAAGTTATGTTTTACCATATTAGTTAGTTACTAAGTTGATATAGTTGGGATTGGGCACCCTCTCCCATTGAGTAGCCTTTTGGGGATAAGTTCTACCCAAGCGCATTTTCCATTGTATCAGAGCACCCAGATTTATTTGTTTGAATCTAATGTATTTGGTATGGAATGCCGCATGTGAGTGTCGGTATTAGAAGTTATGTTTGTACCATATCAATTAGTTACTGGGTTGCAATTGTGTATAAGTGTGGCTTGCCACCCTCTCCCTTTGAGTTAGCTTTTAGGGATGAGTTCTACCCAGGCCCATTTATCAAAGTGAATACAAGTAAATGTAGTAAACTTAATTTTTTGATTGTACGAGTGCATGTTCAGATGGCATATGAGCTCCACGGACTCTTAGCTGGAAATGTGAGTATTGTCACGGGAGAGAACATCAAGCCTTCTTATGGTGGGGATGATGAAGCCTTCTTGCGGAAAGTTATTACACCCATTTATCAAGTGATTGAAAAGGTAAATTCTTGCGCACAGATTTTGCTCAGTCAGGACCAAGTATTTCTGCTGTTGAGATAACAAGATGGCCTTGTATGGCTGCCAGGAATCCAAGAAAGGTAAAAATGGGATAGCCCCTCACACAGCCTGGTGCAACTATGATGATTTAAACGAGTATTTCTGGTAAACATTCAAATTGATATGTAATGTTCGTTATTAAAATTAGTTTTGTTCTTTATGTAATAATTAATTTTGGCAAAATAAATCTAGGTCAACTGATTGCTTCCATTTGGGTTGGCCGATGCGTGATGATGGTGAGTTTTTCAAATCAACTCGAACTGTTACACAGGTAATTGAGGTTGGCATTCAAGTGTTAAATATTTTGCGCATATCGAATTTTCCTCTTTAAATTAGTGTGAGTATGACTACTGTTTCAGGGGAAAGGTGGTTCAAAAAAATCGACTGGAAAGTTGGGGAAATCGTTCTTTGCAGAAACACGAACATTTTGGCACATTTTTCGGAGTTTTGATCGTCTGTGGACTTTCCTTATTCTTGCGCTACAGGTAGATATTTAAAACAGATGAAAAATATTTAATCGAGATATATTATGTGTGTGCCCTGAAACATTGGGATTGTTCTACTGCAGGTCATGATTATCATCGCATGGAGTAGAGTTTCTATATTTGATCTCTTCCAGAAGGACACTTTATACGACTTGTCTAGCATTTTTATCACGGCAGCCTTTCTTCGTCTTCTTCAGAGTATGTAATTCCAGTTTCTTCTAACCTTATCTGAGAAATTTATTTGTTCACCCTAGTACATGCAGCTTGAGATATCTTATAACCAAAAAACTTATCTTAAACTTTTAAGACTGGACTTTTTTTCTTATTAAAATACCATTTTGATACGCCAACAGGTATTTTGGACATCGTTCTGAATTTCCCGGGCTTCCTTAGGTGGAAATTCACTACTGTTCTAAGGAGTGTCCTCAAGATAATTGTCAGCCTAGCCTGGTCCATCATCCTCCCTTTGTGTTATTTGGTCCAAATCAAGTCATCATCATTTTCCCAAATCAAAGATGTGCTCTCGTTCCTCGATAGACTTAAGGGTGTGCCAGCTTTCTACATTATGGCGGTGGCTATATACCTGCTGCCGAATTTGTTGGCAGCTGTCTTATTTGTTTTCCCAATGCTGAGACGCTGGATTGAAAATTCAGACTGGCATATCATTAGGTTTCTTCTGTGGTGGTCACAGGTATAACAGTGGCACTCTTTTTCTTAGGTATTCTTAAATAGGCATTTACTAAGAGCATCTACAATACTTTGGGTCTAATTTTGCTTACGTGACATGTAAATAGACCTAAATCTTAGATTACATGGACAAAAATATATAAAAGTAACAAAATTAACTCCAATGCAAAGAGACTAGGTCTCCACTTGGGTCTAAAATAGACTTTATAGTAGACAGTGTCTCTTTCATGCTGCCACATGACCCAGTCCACTTGCACTTGCATTGGAGTATATATTTTTCTACACTTGGTTTATTTCCTATGTGGCCTGTACATTATTTTGAATGAACCTAAAGTATTGTGGATGCTCTAACAATCTTGATCTTGGGTATCTTAAAATAGCATTTACTCATGGTTATGATGGCACACAACTGATAGGTACTAAAATGAGTCTTTTTGTGAGACTATTCTATGATGTTCTCTTTCCCCAAATAACTGGACTCTTAAGTCTGCATTTCAATTCTTACCAAAGTGCATTCCAGAGGAAAATAAGATTCTGTTAGGTCTTTATTTACCTACTTTTTAACATACACGAGTATTCCGTCCAGGCAAGAAAAGAACTCTGAATAATCCTCGCCAGAATCAAGTTCCATATATCACATGCACCGACATACATGCATGCATTATGCTGTAGTAATCAGCATTACTCTAATATGAGTATCTTTTTTATTCTTGAGTAATATATATAATTGCGTTCTAAAACTCTGCAGCCCAGAATCTATGTAGGAAGGGGAATGCATGAAAGTCAATTTTCACTTATCAAGTATGTTAACCAAAGTTCTTTATCCTTGAAAATGTTTCATTCCTCACGGAACACTGACTTGAATTTTTATGCTGTAACCGATCGCAGATATACATTATTTTGGGTGCTGCTTCTGTGCTCGAAATTTGCATTCAGCTATTTTATGATGGTAGTTTCAAACTCTTAATGTCAGAGAATTTAATTCTTTGGCAATAGCCTTGTCCTTATTCTAATTCCTTTGTGCAGATAAAACCTCTGGTCAATCCCACTCACGACATCATGAACATTCACCATGTTGATTATGCTTGGCACGAATTCTTCCCTAATGGTACGCACTTAATTCACTTAAATTTTGCTTCTTTCCAAGAATCACCTTCTCCGCTCTATACATATGGAAAATATTGTATACCTCTTGCAGCTAGACATAACTATGGAGCTGTTGTTGCACTGTGGGCACCAGTTATTATGGTGAGCCTTTTGTGATTAAATTTCCTTTTTATTCTGATATTCCTCTATCTGCTAGCTTTATATTTTACTATTCTGTTGCAGGTTTACTTCTTGGACCTTCAGATTTGGTATTCTATAATCTCCACCTTGTATGGAGGTTTTATTGGTGCCTATGATCGTCTTGGCGAGGTAGTGACCACTAAAGCATTTATTTGTGGCTTTTAAGTTAATTCGATCCCACACTATTTTATCACATTTAACATCATCTTTCACTTGACATATGTTTCTGGCTACACAGCTTTTGTAACATCATAACATATATATCGTTAGCTATTACATGATTTCTTGTATTCCTATTAGAAAGCTCTATGAAAGTTTTGCATCACTGAGTTGTAGGATCATTCTCTTTGTTCACCTTTAGCTTCTTGATCACATGACGTGTCTTTTCTCCAGATTCGAACTCTTGGAATGCTAAGGTCTCGCTTCCAGTCATTACCTGCTGCATTCAACACCTGCTTGGTGCCTTCTGATAAATCCAGAAAAAGAGGGGTTTTCCATTCAAAAAGCAATAAGGTTCTCATCTCTCTCTCTCTCTCTCTCTCTCTCTCTCATATCTGAACTTCACATTTACTGTACTATCTGAAGGCCAATGCAAGTAGAAGAAGTGAGGCTGCTAAGTTTGCACAGTTGTGGAACGACGTAATTAGCAGTTTCCGGGAAGAGGATCTAATAAGTGACAGGAAAAGCCCCATATCCTAATCTTCTAATCCTGCACTATCCTATCTTTGAGATCCACTCATTAAGAAATACTAGAGACTGTAACTAAATATTTTGTTATTTATCTCAGGGAGATGGATCTGCTTCTTGTTCCCTACTCTTGCGATCCTAGCCTGAAAATAATCCAGTGGCCCCCTTTTCTACTTGCTACCAAGGTGATCTAAAGTTTCCCAACATCTATTTATAGTCCTGACCTCGCCGATTCATTCTTCTTCTTTTTTGGGACCCTTTGCCCAGATTCCGATAGCGCTGGATATGGCTGTTCAATTTCGGTCCAAGGATGCTGACCTCTGGAAGCGAATATGTGCTGATGAGTATATGAAGTGTGCTGTAACAGAATGCTATGAGTCATTTAAACTTGTTTTGAATGCCTTGATAATCCGCGAGTCTGAGAAACGGTAATCTTTTATTTACAGTATGAGATGACTTCATCACTTACAGTACTATGAATTTTATATTTAATTTGCTAATGCTAGAGGATGATAAAATTTGTTCATGTACGCATGTTGTGCTTCTGCTCCTCCACTAAATGTAACACTTCTGAATAGTTATTACTTTATTGAGTCACTTCTCTTGATACTTCCGCTGCATGGCGATTCACATTTTATCTACCGTTCATGTAGTAGGATTCTCTAAGTAAATTATTATGCCTGACATTTCATGGTCTTCACTTTATCACTAACTTCCTATTTGGTTCCGGAAAATATGCATTTAATTCTAAAGGTGCTGAAAAGTAACATTTGATGTTGCATCATATAGTAGAAAACTTTTGTTTTTCACTAATTCTAGCGGAGTCTTGTAGTAAGCCGAAGTCTATAGAATTTTATCTTCTGGCTTCAGTCTTAACGTCTGCATTCCTGGAACAGGGTCATCGGAACCATCATTAAAGAAATAGAAAGTAACATGTCAAAGGGCACACTCCTTGCAAATTTCAGAATGAAGCACTTACCTGATCTTTTCAAGAAATTTGTAGAGCTTGTGGAGATATTGGTGAAGTCATTTGTCACTATCATAGCTTTTACTTTCATGTTACATTTCTAGGTAAAACCGGGCTTTTTTTTTTTTTTTTAACTTGCAGAAAGAAAGCGATCCATCTAAGAAAGATAGGGTTGTTTTACTGATGCAAGATATGTTAGAAGTCGTTACCCGTGACATGATGGTGAATGAGATTCGGTAAGTAGTAGATGGTGCAGCCTTTGTAATACATGTAGTTTTTTGAGGACTACTCTTCTCTCATTAATTTCCATGAATTTGTTCATTTAATGAAACAGTGAACTTGCTGAGCTTGGTCAAGGTAGTAAGGATTGTGGAAATCAACTTTTTGCTAGTATTAGCTTCCCTCCCCCAAATACAGCCCAATGGGAAGAGCAGGTATGTGAAAAGATGCCTGCACTTAATATTCTTAAAACATAAAAAACTTGAAACATCGTGCTGTGCGGGGAAAAAATTGAAGCATAATGTGCTTGTCACACAGATACGACGCCTCTATCTGCTTCTTACTGTTAAAGAATCCGCAATCGATGTCCCAACGAACCTTGAAGCACGTAGACGGATAGCATTCTTCTCCAATTCACTCTTCATGGATATGCCACGTGCACCTCGAGTTCGCAAAATGTTGTCATTCAGGTGGAATATTGTATTTTTCATACATGCTATTCATATTTTCTAGCTTGTTCCTCATCCCACGAGTTGTTTTGCATAATCTCCTTAAACTCCATCAGAACATTTTGACAAAATAGTTAGCTTGTTTCATAATCAGTAGAATAAGGCTTAGCCAGCATGGTGAAAAAGATTGATGTATAATTTAGCTTACTTTGACATTTTATATTCTGAAAATATCTTTACAAGTAAAAAATCTTCAGTTCGTGACCATATCGATTCGCATTTGTAGTGTAATGACTCCATACTACAGCGAGGAGACTGTCTACTCCAAAAGCGACCTAGAAATGGAGAATGAAGATGGTGTGTCTATTCTATATTACCTTCAAAAGATATTCCCAGGTTTGCTTCACTTGTCCAGTCTGAAATGATCTCAGTAACATTCTTTGATTTCATGGTATTTCAAAATCTACAAATATTCATATAACTTCTTCCTTCAGATGAGTGGAACAACTTCATGGAGCGTCTGAACTGCAAAGAATCTGAAATTTGGGAAAATGAAGAGAATATACTGCAACTACGCCACTGGGCATCCTTGAGAGGGCAGACCCTTTGCAGAACGGGTTAGTTGAGTTCTTGCAAATTTTTTAGGCCTTTTGATTGTGATCTCTCGATAGTAACTGGATTTACTATCATCGCCCATGCAATGCAGTCAGAGGCATGATGTATTACCGAAGGGCTTTGAAGCTTCAGGCTTTTCTTGACATGGCAACTGAAGATGGTAAGAGAAAAAATGTTCAGAATTTACAAAAGGAGCATGCTTACAGTTTTAATTGTCAAAAGCTTCTTATTTTATTTCACATAAAAAGGATATCTATATGCTACATCTTTCACACGAAAACTTCAACAATTCAAGACTTTGATTCCGTTTTCGCTTCCACCCACCCCCTTTTTATCTTTTCCTGTCTGACCTCTTAAGTTGTTTCAAAAGGAACTCAGGTTTTGCTTCTGACAGATTTTGTCTAAATTGGACAGAGATACTTGAAGGCTACAAAACTATTACAGAACCATCAGCAGAAGATAAGAAGAGTCAGAGATCCATGTATACTCAATTAGAGGCTGTGGCTGACATGAAGTTCACATATGTCGCCACATGTCAAAACTATGGGAACCAGAAACGAAGTGGAGATCGTCGTGCAACAGACATTTTAAATTTGATGGTTAAGTAAGTCGCACAACTTTGTCATTGTGAAAAGTTTTGCATCACTATTAAATTCCTAGGCAAATGGGGTCATCTGACTGCAAATGCGATACCCATTTGTTTTTATCCAGTAATCCATCTCTTCGAGTCGCGTATATAGATGAAGTCGAGGAAAGGGAAGGTGGGAAAAATCAGAAGGTCTATTACTCTGTATTGGTAAAAGCTGTTGATAATCTTGATCAGGTACCATTAATTTTCAAAATTGAGCAAGATAAGCAAGTACTTCGTTTTCAACCCAGGCTTGGGTAAATTTCCTCTCTTATGTAGGAAATCTACCGAATAAAGCTGCCTGGGTCAGCAAAGGTTGGTGAAGGGAAGCCAGAAAACCAAAACCACGCTATTATCTTCACGCGTGGGGAAGCTCTTCAGACCATAGACATGAACCAGGTAACTTAAAGAACTCAGCAGTCATTAAGTTGATGAAGTTTTCGGTTAGAGCTAATTTGAGTCTTTAACATAACATAACTCTTTTCTTCCTAGGACAACTATTTGGAAGAAGCTTTTAAGATGCGCAACCTACTTGAGGAATTTAATGAAGATCATGGGGTGCGTCCACCTACGATCCTGGGTGTTCGCGAGAATATTTTCACTGGAAGGTTGGATTTAGGTTTATCTTTGAACAAGTTCGATTAATTTTCCTGGTTTAGCTCTTCCTGATTTTTACATTGCCAACTGCAGCGTGTCATCGTTGGCTTGGTTTATGTCAAATCAAGAAACAAGCTTTGTCACCATTGGCCAGAGAGTTCTTGCAAGACCTCTGAAGTATGTTTATTCCGTTTTACATGAATCACCAAATATTAAATTATCTCTTGGTTTGCTATGCACATGATCATTGCTTTCACATGATCCCCTCTTCTTCTTCTTCTTCTTCTTCTTCTTCTTCTTCTTCCTAATTGTACAGGGTAAGATTCCACTATGGACATCCAGATGTTTTTGACAGAATCTTCCATATGACACGTGGAGGCATCAGCAAAGCTTCACGGGGAATCAATCTTAGTGAGGATATTTTCGCTGGTGAGACCATAACCTTAAATAACCAGCGGAATTTTTTACAGTATGAGTCAGTTCCTAATTTGACATTACCATATGAAGGTTTTAATACAACATTAAGACGTGGAAATGTTACTCACCACGAATATATTCAAGTTGGGAAGGGACGAGATGTGGGTCTCAACCAGATCTCACTTTTCGAGGCCAAAGTTGCATGTGGTAACGGAGAACAGACACTCAGCCGTGATATCTACAGATTGGGACACCGTTTTGACTTCTTCCGCATGCTGTCATGTTACTATACAACCATAGGGTTCTACATCAGCTCAATGGTAATGTGTTTCACTTGTAATCAGAATCATTAGAACATAAAATAGAGCTGCTCGATTGCAAGTCATCTAAACTTAATTCTTTAATCGTTTTAGCTCTCATAGCACCTCAGGCGCAAATTATGGGCTAAATTACACTGTAAATGTTTCACTTGAAAGTATATTCTTCTCGTCAAGTTATTGAAATTCCCAGGCACCATACATTGCTATGAAAGAGGGTTAGGTGATTCAGAGTTCGAACAGATGGATTGTCTGGCCCTAAACTACTATTTGACTGTAACAGCTAGTTGTTTAAGCAGTATGCAGTTAGATAAGCTCAGAACTAATCCGTGACTCCATGCAGTTGGTGGTCCTCACAGTATATGCATACCTTTATGGCAAACTCTACCTCACTCTTAGCGGCCTCGAGAAGACCATCGTCCGGTTTGCGAGATCCAAGGGGGATGATGCCCTGAGCGTGGTCATGGCCTCCCAGTCGATCGTCCAGCTCGGCTTCCTCATGGCCCTCCCCATGGTCATGGAGATCGGCCTCGAGCGAGGCTTTCGCACAGCCGCCGGTGACATCATCATCATGCAGCTTCAGTTGGCATCTGTCTTCTTCACCTTCTCCCTCGGAACCAAGCTCCACTACTTCGGGCGCACCATACTCCATGGTGGGGCCAAGTACCGGGCCACGGGCCGTGGCTTTGTCGTCAGGCATGAAAAGTTTGCTGAGAACTACAGGATGTACTCAAGGAGCCACTTCACCAAGGCACTTGAGCTCATGGTCTTGCTCGTGGTCTACCAGGCATACGGGTCCGCGGCAGAAGGCAGGGCTTATTTGTTTGTGACCTTTTCGATGTGGTTCCTTGTGGTCTCGTGGCTGTTTGCACCCTTTTTGTTTAACCCATCCGGGTTCGAGTGGCAGAAGATAGTAGACGACTTTGATGACTGGGCCAAGTGGATGAGTAGTCAGGGGGGGATTGGTGTGCCGGCTACCAAGAGCTGGGAGTCGTGGTGGGCGGAGGAGCAGGAGCATCTTCAGTACACAGGATTGCTCGGAAGGTTTTGGGAGATTCTGCTCTCTCTCAGGTTCTTTGTGTACCAGTATGGGATCGTTTATCAGCTGCATGCTGCCCAGAATGACAAAAGCATTATGGTGAGTGTCACTTTGAATGGATTTATTTATATTTGTTTTCAATTCTTATTTATTAAGGATTCTGGACTTATAAGAAGGGTAATCACCTTAAGGTGAAGACTAATCACAAAGTGGTTGTTATTTTACAAAACTGGAAATGCCATCTTTTGCAAGTAGCACCCTCGTGAGGGGGCGTACTTTATTGTCTAAATACACATGTTAAGGGTGTTCTCATAACACTTTGAGTTTGGTATTTGCAATTTGAGGTAATCGGCGTTTCCATTTTATTTACTTTTTTCTCCTATTGTGACGAATATAAGGTGTAATGACTGTTTTTTCGATGATTACAGGTATATGGTTTGTCTTGGTTGGTCATTGTTGCTATTGTAATCATTTTGAAGGTAAGTATCAAAATCTCTCTGTGAACGTAAAAGTGACCTCCTGTTGCACATTTGTGGCATGAAACCTTATTTTGTACTGAAAACAAAATTGAAAACTCTGATTCGTAGGTTGTGTCCATGGGAAGGCAGAAGTTCAGCGCTGATTTCCAGTTGCTTTTTAGGCTTCTGAAGCTATTCCTATTCATCGCCTTTGTTGTCATACTATTCGTCTCCATAAAATTCCTCGAGCTCACTGCAGGCGACATTTTCGCCAGCTTATTAGGCTTCTTGCCAACTGGATGGGCTCTTCTGCAGGTATACACTTCATTCCCTCTCATTTAAGTCGTCCAAATGAACCTGCATATAATATAAGAGTGTTCGCAAACTCCAAAACAAGATAATTATAATTATTAGTTCAAACTCATGGCTATGTGGCATTGTTGTCCAATGCAGATAGCACAAGCTTGCAGGCCTATAGTGAAGGGCTTGGGAGCATGGGGATCTGTGAAAGCACTGGCAAGAGGTTATGAGTACTTAATGGGTTTGACCATATTTGCTCCAGTTGCAATTTTGGCATGGTTCCCATTTGTGTCCGAGTTCCAAACACGGCTGCTTTTCAACCAGGCCTTCAGCAGAGGTTTGCAGATTCAACGTATTCTGGCCGGTGGAAAGAAAAACAAGTGAGGTAGCCATAGATATCGTCTGGTAGACATGATATCAAACGGAAAAAGAAATATATAGTGCAACATCCATTTTTTGGGGGTATGAGAATGTGGCCTCGCACAGCCTCTGTAGACTATATAGGTTGTGTGCATGATGGTTCACTCTATTTGGAAAATGTCATGGGATGTGTATGTCCACCGGGATAAAAATTGTTACCTTGTAATTTATTGTCTTCAAATTATTATTATTATTATTATTATTATTATTATTATTATTATTATTATTATTATTATTATTATTATTATTATTATTATTACCGACTACATTGTTGGTGTTGTACTCTGCTATAACAGTTTCAGTTCGAACTAGTGCATAGCTCGGAACTAGTGCGTAGTTCATGCGATGCACGAATGATAATATTAAATAACTAGTACAATACCCGTGTACTACACTGGTAATTGTTAAGAAAATTATTTTTAATATTAAATGATAATAACAACAAATTAAAATCATTTAAAATTAAATATATGTATTTATTAGGCTAATTTGAGTTTTTTATGGAAATTAATGAGTCGATTGAGAGTTTCCAAAACAAATCAAAGTTATATTAGTGAATCAATATCAAAACAACTTAAGGGTTATATTAGTAAAACTATTATGGAATTACCAAGTTAATTTTTTAATATTTTTGGAATGTCCGAACCTAAAATTATTATTTAGAATAATATTATTTTTTATCCAAACCTAACTACGAAGCATGTTTTTTCGCCAAGTAGAGAAGCATGCGAGACTGCCACTTAAGCTTAGCGCATTCTGCAATTATATATAGGGGTGATAATTATAAATTAAAAATGTGAATAAATAATATTAAATAATAATTTTAAATTAAAGAGGTGGGAACATTTGATATAATTTACATTTAAACAATATGCGGCTACAGTCCCGTTACGATATGATACCGTTCTTTTAATAATCGTTAGATTTTTATGGTTGTTGGTAGACACTAGTACGTAACCCGTGCGATGCACGGGAAGTAAAATTTGGAAGAATAGTATAACCTCACGTGCATTAGGATCGGAATCGAAATCAATAAAAAGCCATTAAATCATTATTGAATCACAAAAAGTTCGTTAACAATCATATATTATTAAAAACCTCCTTGTACACAACATTATGAGTTTGATTATTTGCTAACTCCTCATTATCACAAACTAATATTTTCAACCATCTTCTATTAGTTACACGCGAAGCAACAACATATAATTGGTCGTGACTAAAAATGGGTTTCTTCAGGAAAAGACCAACGTGTGATAAAGACTGTCCCTGGCTCTTGCTTATGGTCATGGCATACGGAACCATTAGTGGGAACTGCCGCCGCTGGAACTTAAATGGAATCCTAGTATCAGATGGAACAATATTCATCCTAGGAAATCAAGACCTTGTCGCCAGCGTGATCTCCTGTCAATGTCTTGCAGAACATGAGTAGAGAGTTTAGTCACAACCAATCGAGTACCATTGCATAGTCCCATAGAATGGTCCATATTGCGCAACAACATTACTGGAGTTCCTATCTTCATGTGCAACTCATGGTTGGGACAACCAGAACACTTGATGCTATTCAAGAATTATGGCGTGTGGAGATCTGCCAAAAAATCATTTCCAGAATCCGATTTAGAAGTACTGTCTGAGCTCAAATACGTACGACCTTCAGAAGAATTCAAGTCGGACATGTATTGGTTGATGGACTCAACAACCTCCAACGTGGGAGCTAATATTGCCCTATCCTTCAAATAACTCGGATCGTCTGTTGCGTTCTTGAACATTGGATAGGTAATTTCTACAATCGTAGCAATTGGACCATCTAAGGGATCCAATCTTATACCATCTGGAATATCGATTGCAGCACAACCATCATTTGGTCCTCCTGTAGCACCATCTCCAATACTCGCAACCCAATCCACAAATGCAACCACCTCGTCACGCTCCTCCGAATCAGAAATGCTCTGAAGACGCATGTTTTTTGTAAGCCGGAGAACAGTACATTCCGTCCAAATGCTGGACGCAGTTGCATTTACTATGTCCTGACGGATCCCCTTTGGAATCACTTGAAGGATCTGTCTGAAGTCTCCACCAAAGACAATCGGCTTGCCTCCAAAGGGCTTGCTACTATTCAAAGGGTCAACTGCGCCCATTATAGCCTGCAGCGACGTCTGAACTGCTTCAAAGCAATATTTGTGCTTCATCTGCGCCTCGTCCCATATGATTAGAGAGCAACGAATTATTAGTTCTGCAAGAGGACTTGCCTGAATGATATCACACGACGAATTTTCATGAATACTCAATGCTATTCGAAATCGAGAATGTGCAATTCTTCCACCGGGCAATAAAAGCGATGCAATTCTACTCGATGCAACCATTTGCGTATCACCAGATTTGACCTGCTTGTCTTGTACACTTTGGATATCAACAACTAATCCAATGACGTCTACAAATAAATAAAATGGATGTTATTTTGTATTTTATATAAATTTTTAGTAAATCAAATACGTCAAATAATATTCACAACATTATAAAGTAATATTACCGAATAAAATGGACTCGTCTATTTTGTTGAGGTCTTGCATAGTTGCAAAGTCTCTAAATAGAAATCGAAACATAGGAAAAGACAAAGTGTCTTTGCATTTCATAAACACAGTGCCCCCATGTATTATCTTAAATTCGCCAGTTGCAGATCTATACATACCAAAGTTGCTATCAACTTGGTAGTTTCGTATAAGAATGACCATGCCCTCTTCAATGGACTTCTCTTTGAACCCCGACAAGTAGACTGCACGTAGCAACGCTGTAATGCGTTTTCCCTTGACAAATAAATTGACACGGCAAATTATAAACTAATCTTTATGATATGTAAATAACAAATATGAATACATTCATATATTTTTGCAGTGAATAATGAAATCGAAATCATATGCCTACCGTTTTATCATGCAAAATAAACTCGAGATGCGACTTGTGAATGTGCTGCCCTTATCTTGATAAAACATCCTCACAATGCGTACTTTAAGCATAGGCCTCTTGCTCCTATTAATTTCTTCGATTAAACCAAATGCTTGATCCAGTGCAGAGAAAGTTATTTTTTTTTTTTTT